CCGTATTGTGTAAGATGAGTAAGACTTCCTACCCTATTGTAATGGAGAAGCAAGAGTGAGCGAGCATAGCTTTTCAGTTGGGGAAGGTGGTGGTGAGGGGCCATATGATAAGGCTCTTGGTTCTGTTTTCTCAATCCCATTTCTCATTATTAAATCAACAGATGTTTATTGTATATAGCATGAACTAAACATTCTGCAAGGTCTGGTTACACAGCAACAAGATCTAGTCTTTGGACCCAAGGAGCATGTGGTGTAGATACATAGCATAGGGCAATGCTACATAACTGCCTACAGGGCAGAGAAGATACATAAGACCTTTTAAAACCCTGCCTAGCTCCACCACTGCACAAGCGATTTATTAACTTTGCCTTTTTCGTAGCAAATACAGTGAGAAATTATTATAATTAATTGCAGGGCATTTTTGAAGTGAAAGGTGCTATAAAAGAGCTGAACAATAGAAAACAAGTGATATTGTAGGATGGTTCTCATAGGTATGTTCAGTATTTTTGTCATCACTATAGGACTGCTACCAGGGAAAAGCTAAATTAGATAAATACAATTGCCTACGTTTTGCAAAGTCAAGAAAATATCTGTGTATTGGTAAGAGAGATTGTGGAATCTTACATTATTTTGGGTACTACATAAACTAAATCAGGTTGGAATATCACATATAGTGTTTAGTTTCCCCATGTCTGCAGCTTCTATTAAAAATCTGCATTTCGATGTTTATTTGAAGTAGTTCTCTAACAATTTTTAAATGTTGCCACTAAGACTATTATTTACCAACAAGGGATTATATTTTAATACTCAGAAACTATAAGGTTTGTTAAATTATGTAGAACAAATCTAACCTTTCCGTGATTCACCTGTCAGTGTCCTGGGTTTGGGAGAGTTGTTATCAATGATATATGCCTGATCCCTTCTGATTTTACTTAATGTTTTTAAAGTTGGTTAATTCCCTCAGAGGATTAGGATACCAATTTATATGTCATTCTACATTATCCAAAGATGAAGAATTTATAGAATTGGGCATTTCTTTTACATACTTTTATATAATCATTATTTATACTCAAGATTGAGATTCTCAAACTATTGGAAAAGGAAGGGGATCTCTTTTGATAGTCATTTTATGTTTCGTGATGATGAACTACTCCTAATTTTAACATTAGTACTTTTATGTTTTTACCAGCATTTTCACCCTAATTAAATGAGGTTCTACCCAACAATGTTTAGCCTGTGGCATAATAGAAGACAGATGACTTGTCATTGAGAATTGTAACCTTACATTCTCTCCTTCCTCTGAACAATATGATTTTTTTTGGGGGGGTCTCAGTTTATAATGAGACACATGTCTAGTTTAACAAACAATGAAAATATTTAAAGTTTAACCTTATATGCATGCTATTTATTTTTAAAATATATATTAATATAAACTATTAGTAAAGAGATCTTAATTTTTATTGTCTTCCCCTGACTTAAGAAATTTATTAATATGGAGAACTTTCACACATTTGCTGATTATCTTATTTGTTCTATATATTGGTACTTTGGTCTCATGTTTTGTTCTTATTATATTATTTCTATACATTTCCATTTAGTGTTTCTATTTAGAATAGAGATAGAAGCATAAAAATTAATAGCCCATGCATCAAACCATTTTATATGCTTAACAAAAATGAGCAAGTAAGGCTAGAAACCTCAGTGTTTAATACTGTTCTTAAAACTCAGTTATTACATGTATTATAGCTTCAGTGATTAAAGAGAGTAAGTATAATATATAGTCAGATTAAAACAGGATAACTAAACCAATATTTTTTAAAAAGCGTATGTCTGTGAATTGCATGGCAGAATATTACTAAAACTTACCTAAATAAACTCTCATGATGTTTTTGCATTTTATGGGAATGCTTTGGCTAGACTTGGATCTGAATCTCATGACCAAGATTCTAAGTTTTGGTTTTTTTCTTTAATACACAATACTGTATTTAGGAAGTTAAAATTCACCGTCCTGGTTATATTTGTGCCAAGTTTGTGAAACTGTACTATACTATTATGAAAAAAGTAAAACTTTACATGTACTTGTATTTTGAAAAGTAGCATTGTGTGCATTTAAAAAAAATTGGTAACTTGTGGCACTTTTGTAAGGGAATGTGCAAGTATAAACGTTTATGCCATTTAAAATGTTTTTAATTCCCAGGAATTACCCTTATAAGGCTTTAATTAAAAACCAAACCCAATTTTACAAGTAGCACTTTTTTCCTACTGGTAGTTCCTATTCTTCTAATTATGTGGGACATTTAATTTAAACCATGTTTTTTGCAATGAGTTTTTGCTTTCCTCCTTCATCCTAACCTCAAAAACCTTTCATTTAAGGAACAATTTTAAATTAATCCAATGGTAATTAGCAAAGCATTTTAGGTGTCATGGCAATTTACTCTTGTGCCTCACTTTAGTAATTTTCTGACAAAAATAACTAAATTCCTGAAATGTAATATTCAAATGTTTTAATTAGTTTTTATTGGTCATAACCAATTGAGTAGTTGATGTCTATATAATTGTAATTTATCTTAAAATCTAAAGCTGCTGAAACAACTAAGTACACAGCTGTGCTTAAATACCCTCATATCCTCCAAAGAGAGCTGAGGAGAAGAAAGAGAATCCTCTATGATTATAGCTATTATACATACTTCTGTGGGGTTACCAGTATTCATTGTGACATATTCATGAATGGTAGAAGCAAAATGAAAACAAATATAAATTCTTTAACTTTAGATGGTGGCATCAATACAGATTATACATAAACTGTTGCAATGAAAAATATTTATTGTGCTTGTTTGTGAAGAATTTATCTTAGATTTTTTTTATGCTCTTTTTCATTTGAAGCTGCACAATGTAAAGACAACAGAATAAATGAATGAATGAAATGATGGTCCTATTTGCCATGGGATTAAATATTCTGTTGAATTTTTGAGGGGTATTGGCTGCTATATATTATGACATAAGCTAAATTGTTCAGAAGCAACATGTAAGTCTTAGGTAAAAATCATAGCACTTAGAAATCATACATCTCTTCTTTTCCTCACAAAATGAGTTCAGAATTTACAATCCAAATTGTATCTTTTTAAGCTCCTAATTATTAAAAATTACCTAATATGGATTAAAGGATTAAATGAAATAAGTACTACAAAAGAATACTAATTAATTCTAAAACCCATATATTATCAAACTTCTGATATTATAAAGCCTTAAAATATTTTAATGAAAAATTAATTAGCTGGAAACGAAGGCACTTTATTACCTTGAACTAGTTATTTATCTATATAGAATTTGTCTAAAATCCCATAAAATATTCTTTATCCTTTTATAAATGTATCCTACTTATGTGTTTTTCTAAAGTTCTTATATAATGTAATAAGTCAAACTATTTTAACTTACCAGAAAATTGTGTTACATAATATAACCAATAAACAATACAGAAATAAAACTCAAAAGTAACAAAAGTGATGTGATAGTGGCAAAACTGTTAGTCTAAGTCTACAATCATTTGAGGTTACAATGTAAAATGTTAAGGCGTTTTCATTGAACAATTTTAGACAGCTTTTATTTTTTAGATCTTATTTTTAATTTGTACTTTCTTGTATTGAAATGTTGGTCAATGTAAAGGTAATCAAAACTATTAAGCCAGCCTGTCATAACTCCATTTTGTTTTCGTTGAGGTTCTTTTAATGTTAACACTAAAACATTAAGAAATCAGTTCTGTTTCTTCTGTGCTCAAGTCAGCCATGCCTGGTGAGTCATCAAACTGAAATAGTGACCTGGGTGTGCTGCTGTGTATAGCTGTTTTCTCTTCAGAAAATTACTAGTTGATTTATACAATGGAGCTGATTCAACAGAAAAGCAGGAGATAATTTTTTTCAAAAGTTAAATTTCTTTTCAAGAGAAATCTTACATCTTCCTGACATGAATAAGGATAGGCTAGCTTTTATCCAAGAATGTTTTTCAACAGAAGAATATTTCAAAATAAACAAACTTTGCTTTCTTTTTTGTTTGGGAGCAGTTCATTTAAGAAAAAAAAAAATACGTGTTTATAATTTTTCTTTAATTCTTTCTCTGTGGCATTCTTTCTATCACTAGTTTAAAAATGTGTTTTATTAAATGTAAATGCTGCTTCATAGACACAGTTATCCTTATGGAAAGGAGTCAAGTTTATCAGAGGTCGGTCTTGTCTTACCAAGGACAGACTAAAGATAAATTCCATGCTAATTCTTTGGTTTGTTTCTTTGTTTCTTTTTACAATAAGATATATTAACCCAAAGGTGTGTTAATGTCATGGCATGAACAATCGTAAATGTAGATCTATTGAGTATTTTGTGATGCTGAGTAACAGACTTTTCTCAAATTTCTGTAATGCTAAAAATATTTTCTCTAGAGGGTTTTGTTTAATGTTAGACTGTTGTTCTAAAAGATGTTGGTCCTAGTGGGATTTTTTTTTAAACTGGGAAAACAAACGCATGTATTACAAGTATAGAAATGGTGAATTGTAAACTTACCGTATAGTACTGAATCTATTTTCAAAAATGTTTTGGTGTTAAAATATACAACATAAAATTGCTGCCGTACTGTAATTGAGTACTTTTTCCTAAATGACCCTGTTATCACTATTCCAGAATTAGAAGTTGGGCAGACACATGATTGATTCATGTGTTTGCATAGATGCTTCGGGGTATATTCTTCTCTTGGTGATTAAAATATATTTTCCTTGACATCAATGCATTGAGATCTGAATATACCTGTATCTATCTATCCTTATTGCACATTTCTTATACAGTAATCTAGTATGCCAAAATTGGCCTAGACCCAACTTAAAATTGAGGGTTTGTTACATGCTTTCTAGCAGAAAGGTTTTCAATGATATTCATTATGGGTTTGTACTGTGAAAATAGTGAAACTCCCTTTAAAATTTCACACATGCTAAATATAAATTAATATTTTTTCTTTAGCTCACAAATAACTCTAAATCCAGAGAGAATATCAACCCTTTTCACTGTTGTCAAATCCAGCATAAGGAACAGCCCTATGACCCTACAAAAACTGTTGAGGAATAAGGAATGTCTCTTATGTTACACTTCAGAATAAAGGCATTGAGTGAAAGAAATGAACCGAAGTTCATCGTGAATGCAAAGCTTCTATACTTGACATTCCTCCACGGAAGGGAAGACAAGTGTCAAAACCACTGGCAACCTTTTCAAACTGATCTTATGTGGAATGTCTTCCACCACACTGGAGTACTTCTTGACTCTATCAGCCTTGTTTGTTTGTTTTCTAATTTATCAAGTTTTTCAGTTTTCAAAACACAATTTGTCAAAATTGAGATAGAAACATAAATTTGAAAATACTTTCTTAAGAGATCATGTAACTATATAACTCTGAATTTAAAAATTGAGGAGGAGTGATCATTTCAGTCCACTGCCTCTCATAAGAAACATGTTTTTAAATCTGTAACTGCTTTAGTGTTAACAGGGTACAAAGTGTTTTTTGTCCTGTATTGTACTTAGGTTCTCATTGGTTGGTGATTGTATTGTACTGTATGAAAACAAATCATAAATTGCCTTGTATTGTTTATAATGGACCATACCATGTACTTCTTCTGTTTTCATGTTCCAAGTTTTTCAGTGATGCATGTTAACAGTTAGGTCCTAAAATTCTGTGGTGCTAATTCTTCCATATCCAATGGTGCTTTTGTGGATGCTAACTGCACACATGCTGAACAAAGCTTGAAGTTTAAAACTTTATTCCCTTCTTCTGTTTATATAAAGCAAAATAAAATAACTTGAATATGTCTCAAAGTATCACTGACAATCTAATAAACTGGTTTATATGTGTGATTACTTTGGATTCTTAATTATTTTTCAGAAAGATTAGTTCTACTGGGCCCTCATATCAACCAAAAGTTGATCTTGCCACGTGTTTATTTTGTTATTTTAGTTGTGCCCCAAATTTTGTGGTATCTTTGGGAATTTAAATCTAGTTGGTCTGGCTTCTAAATTCAAGTTTAAATCAGATCTATGAAAACTAGACCTATCAGACCTGGAAAATAAGTAAGTTAAGAAAACCAAAAATGTGCCATTAGATTGTATTTGTTTATTTTAATACTTTATTCATAATGTTTCATCATCTGGCTGAGCCATGAGATAACATTTGTAAGTATGCTTCCAAAACTTTTATTGCAATTCAAATGGCTATGAAAAGGTTGTTCATGTATGCTGATATTTAAAGTAAATTTCCACTCCACCTATATGAAATAAGGACAAAATTAAATTGGGACTTTCTAGGACAAACTGATGTATGTCAGAATGGCAAACACCCATGCATTTGGTCTTACTGCATTTTTTGTGTTTTTTTTTTAAATCCTCATCCAAGGATATTTTTCTTTTCTTTCTTTTTTTTTTTTTTTTTTATCCTCACCCGAGGACATTTTTCCATTTTTTGCACAGATAGAGTGGGAGGGAGAGAGAGGAAGAGAGAGAGAGAGAGGGAAACATCAATGTGAAAGGGACACATTGAGTGGCTGCCACCCGCACGACCAACCAAGGCCGGGGACAAACTGCAACTGAGGTACATGCCCTTAGCAGGAACCGAACCCAGGTCTCTCCAGACTGCAGGCGGATGCTCTAACCGCTGAGCCAAACTGGCCAGGGCCCAAGGATATTTTTCTATTTATCTTCAGATAGAGTGGGAGGAAGAGAGGGCACAATATGAGAGAGACACATTGACTGGTTGCCTCCCGCATGACCCCAACCAGAGCCAGGGATGATCCGCAACTGAGGTACGTGCCCTTGACTGGAATCGAACCCAAGACTCACTGGCCTGTGGGCCAATGCTCTAATTGCTGAGCAAAATTGGCCAGGGCGGTCTTACTGCATTTTTACTTTGAGCATCTGCACTAAAAATCACACAGCACTGGGACAAGTGAAGCTGTTATCCTCATGGAGACAGAGCGTTGTGTCTCCTAAACCAGAGGTAAATTCAATATGAAGGCAGTGTACAAATTTTCATTCTGACCTTGGTATTTTGCCTAACCCATGAGTAACCTTCAATTTAAAAAGAAAAGATCAAAACACATCCATTAAAGCTCCTTAAGCAACAATTATTGCTCTCAAATAAATGATCAAACCCATCAATCTAATCTAGTAGATTCAACAAGTGGAATGTCATTCTCATTCCACTATGGTTCTTGGTTATAAAAAGAGTGTAAGGTATGGTAATTTTGTCTCAAATGGTTATTAAATATATGTATTTATTGTTCATCATAATATTTGTCCCACCTAAAAATTTATTTTCACAAAAATTTTGGGGTTTTGTATGAAAATTTTTTTAAAAAATCATCAACCTTAAATAAAATGAGTGCATTTTGCAAATTGGTGCATTTAGGAAAAGTATGTAGTCTCTCCCTCTTTAAGTGGAACCATTATTTAAGTTTTTCTAGAGTTACAAAATTATATTTGTCTATATAGTTTTGTCAACAATATTTTGATAAGTTGTATTTTCTGTTTCTAAAATAATAATTTTCCTTGGAGATCTTAAGCTCAAGAATGTCATCTATAAATCCTTGAATAAAAGTGCTTTCAATAAAGATCCAGATGTTCTCCATGAAAAAACATTTTTTGAAATAAATTTCATTTACATTAAAAGCTTAACCCGTACTCATCTTAGGGAACGAATTTTCCTCATCAGGAGTTGCTTTGATTTTGAAAATGACCAATAATAACCTTAACTATTTTTTTAAAAGAGCCAATTTATAATCTACATCATTTCAGAGTAGTTTTCATGCATTCTTTTTTTTATCCTCACCCGAGGACATTTTTGCATTCATCTTCAGATAGAGCGGGAAGGAGGGAGGGAGGAAGAGAGAAAAACATCGATGTGAAAGGGATACATCAAGTGGCTGCCAAACTCATGACCCCAACCAGGGCCGGGGACAAACTGCAAATGAAGTATGGGCCCTTAGCGGGAACCAAACCTGGGACCCTCCAGCCCACAGGCTGACACTCTAACCGCTGAGCCAGGACCATGCATTCTTCTTAAAACTGTTGAAGTAGGTGCTATTGAGTTCACACAAAAACCAAAATCACTTTTCTTAAACACACACACATGCTTTATCCTTGGGACAGTGAAAAGTCTCCACAAACCTCAGAGTAGGGGAGCAGGGGAGGTGGATGAGATGAACCAAAGAACTTACATTCATGTATGCATAACCAGTGGATATAGACAACAATGCTAAGGATGTAGGGGAGGCAAGATGGGGAGGTGGGGGCTTAGGGGGGGCAGAAACATCTATAACAAAAATAAATTAATAAAAATTGAAGAAAAAAAGAAAAGTATAAAATAATATATTTCACACAAAAGCAAATGAGTGGTGTTAATTCATAAGACTAAATAAATAAACTATAAAATGCACTGAGCAGAACATTACACATAATCTCCTAAATTAATCTCTCATATTCTATGAGAGGTAGCTAAAGCTTATACTTGCAAAGCATAATATTTGCCTTCATAAAAGACTTAATGAAAAACTGAATTATGAAGATAAAAAGAACTTTGAATAAAAGGGCTGTGTATTTAGAAACTCAGTTTTGTTAGTTCATTCTGGGTAAATACACAAGAGATTCTTTTAAAACTAAGTCATAAAGAAAGCACTTTGGCCCTGGCCGGTTTGGCTCAGCAGTTAGAGCGTCAGCCTATGGACCAGAGAGTCCCAGGTTCAGTTCCCACTAAGGGCACATACCTCGGTTGCTGTTTGTCCCCGGCCCCAGTTGGGGTCATGTGGGTGGCGACCATTCGATGTGTCTCTCTCACATTGATATTTCTCTCTGTCTTCCTCCCTCTCTTCCTCCCACTCTGTCTGAGGATGAATGCAAAAATGGGTGAGTATAAAAAAAAAAAAAAGAAAAGAAAGAAAGCACTTTGCGCATCAGATATTCAGGGCGGAAAATTAATTTACAACAAAAAATAAAGTGTTACTCCTATAGAGTAGGACTGAAAAGAAACTGTAGGTAAGAAGTGGACTTTAAATCTTGCTTATACTTTTTAAAGTATTTAATAACTTTAAAAATGATGTTTGCAGGAAATAAATGCTAGATATGAATACCTATAACAGGTGATCAGCACATTCTGTTTCTAGTAGGAAAATCTATTTGTAAAATTGAATTATTGTCATAATGTTGCTTGACAAGTATAAAGACATAAAGAGAAATAAGTAATATTAATGTAGAGCATCATGTTATGATGGGCTCTATAAAATAGACCTGCTAAGGAGCAGAAATAATCACATCAGCTCATCAGAACAGTCACCCCAAATGAGAGAAGGAGACCACTAACAAATCCTTATTCTTTGAATCTTTTCTTCTAGGTTCCATGTGACATTTTCAGTGAGAAAATATTATTGTTTATATCATATAATTAAACTACATATTGTTTTATGTTAGCATGATTTTAGGCTCCTTAATGATATACCATTTTATAATTACCATTCAGCATTCACTGTTACCTTTACTTATATAGTCCTTATATATTATTACATCATTACATCACATAATCTTATGTCATTATTAATATTATTATTAATCACTAACCATAACCATTATAAATCACTATCATTATGAATATTATTCATCATTAATAAAAGTTTCAAATACAATACCCCTCTGACCATGACTCTTCTCAATAGAGATTTTGGAAACATCCCATTCAGAAATAGCTACTAATGAAAGGTCAAGGCCCTCCTCCCTTGCCCTCGTGGCAGACCTTGCCAATAGATCATAGCATTCTTTACAAAGGACCAGATACAGCTCTAGAATCTGTCTCAACTTTGCGCTCTGGCAGCCACTGGTTGACCAGGCTTAGCATACAACATTGGCATATTTGCCATCCTGCCCTAGACGCCCATAGGCATATATACAAGCCATCTGTCTGGGTCTCCCAAGAAGCAGATGCCAAGATGGGATTAGGTGTGCAAGAGATTTATTAGAGGAAATGCCTGTGAGGGAAAGTGAAGGAGTTGCCCTGGCCGGTTTGGCTCAGCGGTTGGAGCATCAGCCTGCGGACCAGAGAGTCCCGGGTTCAGTTCCCACTAGGGGCACGTTCCCCCCCCCAAAAAAGAAGGAGCTGGTGGAGGAACCATTGGACATTGATGCAGGCCTGAAGGAGAAGAAAGAAAAAACTAGGGAGGGAGTAAGGAAGTTACTTCTTAAACTTCAGCACAGTTCTAAGAAAGTTCCAGCCAGGCCTATGGACAGTCCTAAAGCCTAAGTGACCCTGCAGAGGTGACTAGCATCTTCAGGTACAGGCCTGCTTAGTATCCCTGCCACACTCTGGCATTGGCTGGGAGAAGCCACAATGCAAAGTGATTGTAAAATTGAATTATTGTCTTAATGTTGCTTGACAAGTATAAAGTCATAAAGGGAAATAAGTAATATTAATGTAGAGCATCATGTTATGATGGGCTCTATAAAATAGACCTGCTAAAGAGCAGAAATCTGTGCACAGATTTCAGAGCACAGCAGCTGGTCTGTGAGTCAATTAAGAAAAATCTGAAAGATGCAATTTCATGGCCACCACAGGCTTCTGTTTGCACTGCACAGATCTATATCCCCTCCCAGGTTGGAGGAGCACCTTCTCCATGATCCCTACAGGCCTTTCTTCCTGAGGGAACAACTCAGAAAAGGAGAGTTGGTAGGATAAAGCACAGCCCTGGTGCTGCATTTGATCTCAGGGCCACAGCTAGAACTCATCTCCTTCCTCCTCCAACATCATTCTGAATTGCCCCTCACCCTCAGCCCTCACCTTGGCAGGACTCAGTGGCTCACCTGGTGGTGTGCCTCAA